CACACACACACACACACACACACACACACACACACACACACACACACGGCTCCTATGTTTTGTGGGGATCACACCTCCTTTTGTTTTCCCCCAGCAGCCAGTAGAGGCGATGCCCCAGTGCCCCCAGTGTGCTCCACTGCTCTGGCTGAAATGGTCTCCCTGCTCCCCTCTGTCCAACCCCCCCCCCCTTCTCTCGCCCCAACCACACTGTCCCCTCGCTCTCTCCGGGTTCCTCGGCCTCCCCCTGACTGGTCCTGACCTGAAAATTAGGGCCAGGCAAGCCTCCCCGGCCAGGCCGGCATAACAGGCTGCTGTGTGTGTGCGTGTGTGTGTGTGTGTTTGCGTGTGTGCTTGCGTGTGTGCATCATGGCCCTGAAAGAAAGTAGGAGATTATCCCATTCTGTGTGTCCAGTCACCAGTGCAGTATTGACCACAGTGGGCCACCCAGGGAGCGTCCAGCCAGCCGTGAGATGGCCTGATATACATGCTTACTGGCCATGCTAGATTCCCCCACTCTCACCGGGGAGAAGGCCAAAAACCTACAGGGTGGACGCTTTCCAAAGAAACTGGAGTCTGTACGCGCACTGACCCACCCCTCCATACACAGGGACACACACACACACACACACACACACACACACACACACAGACACACACATTTCAGCGTAGCCTCTGTACAGTGAAAGACATTGCCATCAGGTCGTTTTCTGTGTCCTGTGAGGCGAGGCGGAGGTCATTGGGAAGGTGGAAAACCTCTTTAATGGTGGGAATGATACCATAACACCTATAGATAGAGTTACGGATCATGTCACATGCAGTCTGTGTACAGCGGACAACTCTGACAGCGAGGCCTGGTGGTAAAAGACCAGCGTGAAACATTGTTAGCTGGTGTCGAAAGATAAAATTACATGTGTCTCTCTCTTTTTATTATTATTTTTTTTAGTTCTTACTCATCTATATTTCTTCTCGTTGTTTTATGTTTAATATGTCCTTATAACATCCTTCTGATCACTACAAAATGTATTATAGTCCATGAATTTCCCTGTTTTTCACTGTTCTACATATACTTATCTTTACCGCTTGAAACACAGTAAATAAAACACATTCATATTTTAGATTTTGTGATTTAAACTTCCAGGCTTTCACCTCACAGATAAATGATTACAAACACACTCTCAGAGTTTATTGAAACTCTTTCTGACCTATCCACCACACTGGTTTGTAACAGCTCCCGTTAGTCGTAAAAGCCGCCCATTGTTGGCCTTAACAAACCCTCAGGGGTCAACTAATTGTCTTTTAATTGCTCAGCTGTTTGTTTGTGGATGGAGAGTCTCTAACATCCTGCAACACAAAGGCCTTTAACAGCAGGACGGAGCTGCATAAAGCTCACTAGCAGTAAAAACAAAAAAAGAGAATTTATGGAGAGGAGTGTGTTTCTTTTTACTGCATGTAAACTACAATTAATGAGTTATTATTGTCTCACAAGAGAGCAGTGAAGATAATGTAATTTATCCTTTCATTGTTTTGATTTGCTTTGCCACGACAAGATAAATGTGTTGGAATAAACATCAGGGTTTCATTTCAAATGTGCAATTTATATTACATGAACAAAGTTAGAATAATGCACATCATGTTATTACTGTGATGCGAAGAATAAAACCATTTCCCAACATTTTGCTGTAATAAATGTCGGCCTTTTTGTTCTCATTATTCTACACACACACTCTCTGATGGGTTGAATTTGCTCTCGAGGCAAATTGCATAAACGGCACAGGAAGCGAGAAAGATGTAAGTAATTAGAAAGAGAAAAAGAAACAAATCAGCCAAGCACAATGAATGATTTCTTTTTTTTACCACAATAAACAAATGTGGTCATTGGTCCTGATGAATAAAAACTATTGAGCTCAAATTACACTTCGGTCAACAGATTTCAGATATTGTGCAATTATATTTCTAATTGTTTATACACTGTAATGTGGTCAAATTGGGTTAATTAATAGTATCTGAACTGTCCACCATAACAGAGAAAGTGTTTTATTATCTTTTATAATAACATCTACACAAACGCTGCAAGAATACACTACACTATACAATAATGATTAACAAGAGAACATTAAACCCACGGTAATATATGGCATTTACATAAGAACGGTAATTAAATCTATTTATTTTACAATTACATTACATTCATTTATGTAATGCTGACTCAGTATGAGTTCATCAAGGCAATGAGCTTAAATGGCCGGTCAGTGTTGCATGCGGGCAATAATAGTAACGAGCAAAACGACCGGAGCCAGAGCTGTTTGATAAAACATGAAACAGCTTGTGTGTGTGTCTCCAATGAGCACATGTGATTTAAAAAAAAGTGTATTATGTGCAGAAAATCTTTTTTAACATTGCTAAAGGTAAGCATGTGAAGTGAGTTGATGTGTTGTTGTTTTACTTCGTATTCATGCATAAATATCTGAGGAATTTGAGGCCACAGAGTTCCGCTGTGGCCCACTGATGTGCCGTCCCAGCATGCAACCGCACAAAATTAAATTCTTATGTAAGCGTTCTAATTTCAGACCCCAATGACTTAATGTTCTCACGCTCACGTGTCATGAGAGGCTGACTTCAGAATCGTGTTGATGTGGCGTTGGAATGTAAAGGAAAGCAAAGGTTTAAGAGACGGGAAAAAAAACGAAATGAAACCTGCAGGTTCACAGTTCTGATTTTGGTGAATTTAAAAAGAGAAGTTATTGAAATGATCTGTTAGTAGCTGTTTTAATTTGAAGCTCTGTGTAGCTAAATGTGTGTGTGTGTGTGTGTGTGTGTGTGTGTGTGTGTGTGTGTGCAGGGATCGTCTCCTTGGCTCCCCTGAACTTGGTAGCCCCCCAGACACCTCATAAAATCTGTAGGCTCAGCCCACGGTGCACACAGAGGAGCAAGGTTAGGGGGTTTTGCAAAAAAAGGGGTTATGGTGGAGTCAGGACATGGGATGAGAGGGAGGGGGAGTGTGTGTGTGGGGGGGGGGGGGGGGG